AGCTGTATACATTAATGAAATCATGGAGTACAGTGTGGTGTTTTCATATACAATTTGAAATATTTTCATCTGATCAACATAACCTTCATGTCATTTTCCCAGTTATTATATTAAGACATTTATATTAAACTCCTGGCCTCCAGTGCCTTAGCCTCCCAAAGTGTTAGGAGTACAGGCATGGCCGACTGTGCCTGGCTTTTGCTTTTAAAATTGGAATTTGCCTATTTGCAAAATGTGTATCAAGAGTCAAAAGATATTTATAACCTTGAACTTGAGTGGATAGCCTTATGTGTAAAAATGAACAACTTTTTTTAGGCTATATAGAAATTTAAATATTCTCTAACATATCTCCAGTAGACTTTTATTCTACTTTATTTTTATTATACATATTTTATATTTTAAAATATGTCATGAAGACTGTTAGTATGTAGCATGTAATACACCTAAATTTGTATATACAATATGATTTTAATATTTTAAAGTATATAGAAAAAACTGTAAAATATCAAATTGATGATAACTTTATTAAAGCAATTAATCATAAGTGACTTCCTTCTTCCAATTAAATAATTTTATACATATGTAATAAAAATTTAGAAAGGAAAAAGGTTATGATAGGGACAAAAATGGAATTCTGGCAATCACTGAATTAGCACCATTGCCCCCACATCTCTGCCCCTGGGAGGAAGCATACCTTCCTGAAATGGGCTTCTGACAAGTACATGATCTTCTGGGGGGCACCAGCACACTTCACAGGAGTATTTGGGAAGGTGAAGATGGCATTGCCCTCCTTGAAGTCCTGCAGAGCCCTCCATGTCTTCTCCACAGTCTTCACTGAATAATTAGATCCTATTTTGGGATGAGCAAAACCTTCAGGCAGGCCTTTAATCTGCAACAAAACACACAAAAATTCTTTATTAATAATAGCATGGTGTTTTTAGAGTCTTTGCTCTTTGCCATTTCTATAACCTTTCCAATATTTCAGTACTATAATTACCATCAGCACTCACACACAGAGAGCAAACAGGTGGGGAGAGGGTTGTAAGACCAGAGCGTGACTCCTGTGGTCGCCTGTCAAACCACAGGGGACTCAGCCCAGGGCAACTCCTCCACCTGCCTGGCCTTAACACTATGATGTAAACACAACAAAAACCACATGCTCCCTCAATTAATAAATACAAACACAATACAACTCTTCCCACCACCAAAGTGAGAGCAAGAAGCCACCCACCCTTCCTTTTGGGAGAACCAGTTGCCTTATTGGCAAGAACACTAGGCAAGACCAAGAGCCATTTACACTGTCAAGAACAGCAAACATAACTTTCCTGTGTCACATTGTATCAGATCAAATTCTTGGTAAAGGCAGTAAAGTCAAGTGATTAAAAACAGACTTTAGAATCCTACACACCTGGTTTGAGTCCTAGCTTTTCCACTTACTAGCACTGTGACCCTGAATAAATGACCTAGCACTTTTAAGCCACTGGGTATCAAAGTATGGTCCCCAGGCTGCTGGGGGATTATCAGACCTACTGCATCAGAAACTCTGAGAGCAGGCCCAGAAAACTGTATTTGAACAGGCCCTCCAGGGGATGTTGATGCTGCCCACTGAGGTTTGGGAAGCTTAAGTCCATCACATATAGAGTAGAAGTAAAGTATGTGCTTTGCAGTGTTGTTGCAGGAGTAAACAAGACCACACAGGTTTAGGGGTGAGAAAAAGGGCTAATGCATACAGTAAGTTCCCCATAAATGTTAGCCTATTACTGCCAATACTATTAGCTATATATTTAATCTTTAATACTAGAAGGTTTGTAGAGTGTCAGGAAGATGTCACAGAGTGAGTTAAAGCAGTGATTTTCACCTGGTATGTAGTGAAAATTTTTAAAGATCATTCATTAAATTGTTTTCAAAAGAAGTTCAAATCACACTTTTTTTTAACTCCTTTTTTTGAGCAACATAATTTAAGTGTGCCACAGAAGTTTAACTGCAGGTTCACTTGTGCCCTGAGATGATAAAAAAGGTTGAAAAACACTGAGTCAAAGAAACTTAATTACCAATTCTCAGCAGGAGGAGATTCAACTTCCACCATCCAGAAACAAGCTGGAGAGGGGCTGGCTCTTCAGAGCCTCCCCAGGCCATTCTCCAGGCCACCTCCCAGGTTACCCCAGATTCCTATCCCTGAACCCTCAAGGCAAGAGAGTCCTAGCTTCTCAGTGGCCTGGGTTAATTATTTATCCACACTCAGTGCAAAGAGAAACTATTCCTTTGTTACTCATCACCCTGATACAGTTTAGGTAGTAATATTAGTAGTCCCAATAACAATAATCGTTCTTATTAAAGAGTCATCTTGTGTTTTAATGTTTTCAAAGTTACACGTTGGATATTACCATACACCTCTGAGGGAGGTAGGGAGATATTATTATCCCTTAGAACAGCTGAGAAAACTGAAGCAGAACAAGGTTGAGAATCTTGCCCAGGTTCCTAAAGAACTAAACACCACCTGCCTAGGAGTCTTCCCACAGGGCTTCCCACCACATCTCCTAGTTCTCAAAGTAAAGCTCAGTATCCAAGAGATAAACAGCTGATCTATTATTGCCTTCATTAGGCCTTCCCTTAGCCAGTGCTAAGGGAAAAGGCACCATACAGTGGTAACTACACTCCTTCCAGGAAGACCTGTGTTGTGCAGGGTACCAAACGGCCCCTCATCCCATCAGAAGTGCTTCCCTAGGAGCTCTGAACAGAAAGAGGCAGAGAAGGGGAGAGGGGGAGTGAGAGTCAGGGAGAAAGATAAGATGCGACCCCCCTCCCCTTTAGCTGGACAGAGACAAGCTGCATGCTGGGTAGGGGTGGACAGTCCTACCATGCAGAGTGGACAAGCGAGTAGGACACCACGCTACAGAGACCCTGTGAGGCTGGCTGAGAAACAGATGGACAGACAGCAATGGACAGAGATAATCTGTCAGGTCTACCAGGCTCAGATTGGAGATCTAGCCCTCCCCAAGGCTCACCTACATTCCTGCCTTAGAGTTCCAGAAACTTATCTTGGTATTTCATCAAATGACCCCCACTTTTTGTTTATGCTAACTTGAGTAGTTTTCTAGTATCTGCAGTCCAAGAGTGCCAAGCAGCACGGTGGCCATGGTTAAGTTACTGACATTCTCTTTGCCTTAGTTTCTTCATCTATTAAGTAGAAATAAAAATGCCTCCTTCCCAAGTAGTTGTTAGGAATCAATATACGATTCCCAGCACTGTTCCTGGTACGTCGCAGAGATTCCATAATAATAGCTATTTCTAAATATTGTTTTTTAGTTTGCAGCAAGAGGCTGCTACACACTCTCAGCACCGGTCTCCTTAGTCCTCCTCACGTGGTATTAGATGATGGTGCCTAGACTATCATGGAGATGTGCAGCCTTTGCTAGGTCAACACTGCAGGGCTTCTGGGGGAGGCACGCACCTGCCAAAAGTAGTGGTAATCGGCACATCTCTCCATTTGGTCTACACCATGGCTTGTCCATCATTCCATGAGACTCATGGTACTTTGACTCAAAATCATCAATACTTACACTGATTCACAGCTTCTCCAAACCTTCATACAAACACATCCCAAGATTTTTTTTTCAATTATTTCAAAATACTAAGGGGATACAAGTGTTTTGGGTTACATAGAATCATTTTATATTACTCGAGTCCTGACTAGAGGTGTGCCTGTCACCCAAATAGTGTCCGTAGTACCTCTTAGGTTGGTTTATTCCCCTCTCTGCCTCTGGTTGCTGGTTGCTTTCCACTGAGTTTTACTTCTCTCTGTGCACATGTGGCTCATTGGTTACTTCCAATGTAATTGTGAGTACACGCAGGGTTTGGTTTTCCATTCTTGAGATACTTCACTCAGGGAATGGTCTCCAGTTCCATCCAGATTGTTGCAAAAGATATTAATTCATTTTTTTTTAACCAAGGCATTTTCACTACCCTGCCCATGGACATGTCATGATTCAGGTTTTGTTTCATTTTTGTTTTCTTTTTTATTGTTTGGGATTCATTGACGGTACAAAGAATTAGGTTACACTGACTGCATTTGTTAGGTAGAGTCCCTCTTGTGTCCTGCCCCCAAGAGGAGTTCCAAACACCATAACCCCCATCCCTCTTCCTCCGCCCCTCCACCCGCTCCCTCCTTCCCCAACCCCCCACCTTGTATTAGCTCATCTACTGACTTCATATTAGAATTTGAGTACATTGGATTCTTGCTTCTCTATTCTTGTGATGCTTTACTAAGAAGAAAGTGTTCCACCTCCATCCAGGTTAATACAAAAGACATAAAGTCCCCATCTTTTTAATGGCTGAATAGTATTCCATGGCATACATATATCACAGCTTGTTAACCCATTCCTGGATTGGTGGGCATTTAGATTGTTTCCACAGTTTGGCAATTGTAAATTGAGCTGCAATAAACAATGTAGTGCAAATGTCCTTATGATAAAAGGATTTTTTTCTTCTGGGTAGATGCCTAGTAATAGGATTACAGGATCAAATGGGAGGTCTAATTTGAGTTTTTTGAGGATTCTCCATACTTTCTTCCAAAAAGGTCATATCAATTTGCAGTCCCACCAGTTTGGTATTGTTTTTTAACACACACACACACACAAAAAGTGCATTTCAAAGACCTTTATTGGATCAATCCAATGAGGTCCTTGCCCAGATTATGTTCCTGTATCTTATGACCTGGTTACACTGATGTTTCATGTGCTCCAACTATTTATCCACAGTTCCCAACAAGCTCCAGGAAATAACAACCACTGACTCACTCCACTATATTTTAGAAAAAGAAACTCAAATTTCACAACCATCAGATAGCATCTGGCTCCCTCGCTCACTGAAAAGGGAGATCTAGGGAACTTCTGGGTAGCATCTATATTGCATCAGTCACAAAAATGAACAAGAAAACACAGATGTCTTTCCAGCATCTGATAAACTAACTGCTGGTGTTCTACCCAGAAAGTCTGCTGAAAAATTCATAATCTAAATCTTACTTCCAAAAGAAAATTTAATCTTTACTACTGCCAACTCAGTCCCACATAGAAAGGCAGGTTGCTTAGAAGTATGGGCAAGACTGCTGCTTTGTAAGAATTACCATTAGGACATGGACATGCTGAACTCTGGTTAAAGCTTAAAGCTAGAACATATGGTTATTATCTATAGAATCTTAGAGAATACTTTAAAAAAAAAAAAGCTGTATCAGGGTGGCACCTGTAGCTCAAAGGAGTAGGGCACCAGCCCCATATACCAGAGGTGGTGGGTTCAAACCCAGCCCGGACAAAAACTGCAAAAAGAAAAACCCATAAAAGAGCTGCTGAAAAATAAAACTAGAAGAGGATTTCTTAGGCCTTTTTTTTTTTTTTTGAGACAGAGTTTCACTTTATTGCCCTCAGTACAGCACTGTGGTGTCACAGCTCACAGCAACCTCCAAGTCCTGGGCTTAGGTGATTCTCCTGCCTCAGCCTCCCAAGTAGCTAGGACTACAGGTGCCTGCCATAACACAGACTATTTTTTTGTTGCAGTTTGGCAGAGGCTGGGTTCAAACCCGCCACCCTTGGTATACAGGGCTGGTGCCCTACCCACTGAGTCACAGGCACTGCCCTTCTTAGACCTTTTTTCTTGTCAAGATGAATATAAAGCAAGTAAATGTAGTATTTAGTCTTTTTTTTTTATTATTAAATCAGATCTGTGTACATTAATGCTATCATGGGGTACAGAGTGCTGTTGCTATATACAATTTGAAATACTTTTATCCAACTTGTTAACATAGCCTTTATGTCATTTTCTTAGTTATTGTGTTAAGAGATTTATATTCTACATTTAGAGAGAGTCACATGTACCCTTGTAGATTAAACCATAGGCGTAATCCCACCAATCACCCTCCCTCTGCCTATCCTGCCCCCTCCTCTCCCTTCCGTCTCCCCATTCCCCATATTCTCAAACCAATGGAACATAGAAACAGTTTAAAATAGTACCTTCTCATAGTCCAACTGGATTCCAAGAGCAATAATAAGATATTTGTAGGAGATCTGCAACACAAAAAGATGTTATTTTAGCCCAGGACCCAAGAAGTAGCAGCCCAAAGGCAGATCCAGGCCCCCGGTGTGGTCTTTCCACTCTTTGATATGAATGCTTGGGACAGAGGGAGGTGAGCAGGCAGGCAGAGAGGGTACATGGTCCAGTTCTCCATCCATGCCCTCTGCTCTCTATGGCTCACACCTCGCTGTCTCACAAATGATGTTTACCCTGCCTAGGCCCTGATGGCTTAGGACTCCTGTACTTTCACACAGTGGACAATTGCAACCAAGAGGCCACAATTATTAGCACAGTGCTTATAGGATAGTGGGATCGTGGCCTTCCTACTATTAAAATATAATCAACTTTCTCTAAAACCTATGGGGTAACAGGCGAATCACAAGCAAATCTGACCTGTCCTGTGGACCGAACCAATCACATAATTAGGAAACTGTTCTTAGGAAGGAAACTAAAAAGGCTGCGATATAGTCTACCTTATCTTACTGAATGGTATGACTGGGATGAAAAATCTGCTCATCAAATATGGGTACTATGCTTATTCATACTGAAAACAAGAGAATTCACAAATATCACAGTGGAGATGTACGTTTAGGAGCAGGCAGAAGTTGAAGCCAGAAAGGGTAAGTAAGAAGGGTGTAAAGGACAAGAACTGGCCCAGAAAACTGGAGATGGAATGATTGTGACGAGACTCAGGTGCTCAGAAAGGAGAAAATGGTGACCATCATCTTGTGCCAAATAAGAAGCAGAACAAGCAAGGTGAGCAAATCTCATTTGGGGAAAGAGGACTCTAAGACCCAGGAGTACTTACCTCTGGCCAGGAAACCAAGGGAACAAGTTGCCAAAGAGAACAGAGAACCTACACCAGAATCCAGCAGACTCAGCCCCAAGGTCACCTCCACATCAAGGCTTTCCCATGACTCAGTCACCCTCCCTGCCTGCCCCTGCCAGGAACTTCCTTAGCGTAGTGATGCTGTCTTAATACAGAAGAGTAATATCCTCCCCACTACACTGAACATACCTAGAGGATAAAGGTTATGTCTTACTCCTCATGTTTCAAGAATCCAGCACAATCACTAAATTAAAGTGAAGAACTTGGCATTGTGCATGAGATGAATGATTCAGTGGCTTGTGAAAAAGACAATTTTACAATTTATCAAAGTAGATAGATAATGGAAGCATCTTCTTCTGCATGCTTTGCCTATCCATAGACAGCCACTGCTTTGAAATTCTTTATTCTATAGGAACGTGTGCCAGGCCCATTAAATGGCTGACTGAGGAGCCATGGTGAGTCAGGTGAGAGCTAGCATGGAGACTGGGGTGATGATCTATAAGGGAAAGACGTATATATAGGAAGAGCTTTTTGGGTTGTGCTTGTCACAAAGTATAATAGAGCATCATATTAATTATGCTCTATTTTATTTTATTAGAGCATAATATTGACTATTTCCAAGAACTAGCAACAGATAGATTAAGACCTGGTGGGGGGTGGGAAGAAAACTACTAAGGGAGAATAAACCCTAAATAGCAAGAAAACAAAAAGAAAGCCTGAAGCCTTTTGAATGAGTTGAAGTTTCCAGTCCAGATGACCTAAGCATTCAGGAATCGCAAAAGCTTGTAGACAAAATTTTTGAGCAATTACAGAGAACAGTGTAGACCTTGCCAGAATGTTGACTATGAGCAAGTATTCTCAGAAAGGGTGGAGAGATAGATTCTAATGCTAACAACTTAGTAAATAGGCTATTTATCCATTGCAAAATTCTAGGCTCATCTACCGACGTCTCACAGTAATTTAGAAGAAGAAGAGTACCAACACGAGTTCACAATGAGAAGCCAGGATTTCGTCGGCAGTCTGCAACTATGCTGGCATATAGTAGACAGTCAGTAAATATGTCCTTTCCTTGTTATATACATTCTTTAAAAAAAATAATAACAAAAACATTTCTAGAGCATTTGTTTTGTGTAAGGCATGGTTCTAAGCACTTTATATGTTTTTATTCATTTAATACTCACAAAAGCCCAGTAAGGTAGATTGCTCTTATTTCCAGTTTTCAGATAAAGAAACTGAGACACAATTTACAGACAAACAGTTACTGATACTTGTGCTAGGTCCAGGCCATACAACAATAAATAAGAAAGATACACTTCCTGCCCTTTAGGGAGTCCTTCTAGTGGGTAAAATAGACATTACCAGATAGTAACACAAATAATTACCAAATCACAGAATGCTGTGATAGCATGTCAAGGGGGAGCCCAACCTAGTCTGGTAAATCAGAGAAAGCTTACCTAAAGGGGTCATATCTAAACTAACAACGAGTAGATATTAGGAGAAGCAGGAACAGCACGTGCAAATGTCCTGTGGTAAGGAGGAGGCCAACGTCTTTGAGGAAATGAGAGGCCAATGTTGCAGGCAGAGTAACAAGAAAGAGAATAGAACCAGGTCAAGTCTGAAGAAGGAATAAGAGCCAGTCTACTTAAAGGCTATAAGACGTTTCCAGAGAAACACACTGAGGGATTAGGAAGAGTCGGAGACACATGGAATCTGAGTTTTAGCAATAACTTCAACTCAGTCTTTCACCTAGTGAATAAGATAGAATAAGAACAGAATTATTTGGCAAATGGGATATTTGCTGAAGAATAATTTGTGCAATCTAAAAAAGCTCTCTAGAGTCATGTCACAGAACTAAAACCTTGAACTTAAATGAAGCCATCTGTGGAAAGCTAGGAAAATTTTCTGATTGGGTGGCAGAAGCATAAATCCAAAAGATCAAGACAGGTTGTGGGGGATAAACTGAAATCAACAAGATGACATTTCACAGGCGATGTGAGGTGCTGATTTCTGATACTTTTACCTAATAAAATCTTGGAAGAAAGTCCCACCAGAACATGCCAGCTTCTTCCCCAAACCTAAAACAAGACACTACAATTTCCCTAAGGACTTACACCTTAGGAGAAATAGGACTGGGACCACCTACTGTACCTCTCATTCCCAAGAGATGAGACAAGTTTATGACCCTTAAGACAAGCACAAGCCCAGAGAAATCCTTCTCCCTCTTGAAAGGTCTGATCATGGAGGCAGGCCCTGCTGTACCAAAAGGGGTGGTGTGTGTTCCATGGTGGAGGCCTCCTGGCTCTGCAAGCAGACTGACAAGGTAAAAAAGCCCCCAAGTTCAATCTTGGATATTGAGAACAGTCTTGTATATAATTCAGTCTAGTCTCCTGCAGACACTGAGGAAAATAAGAAGTTTCTGAACCATCAATGGCACCAAAACAATATACAATTTTTTTTAATTTTTAATTAAAATAAATAAATACACATACATCTATCTATTGTGTGTGTGTATGTAGTCATTCCTACCTTTAGTCAAAATACAAGACAACTGTACTCTTTTGGGATGGGGAAGTCTGATTTGACAGTGAGTCATGTGAAAAGGACTCAGAAGTTTGAACTGACCTCAAGGCCAGCATGAACCAGCACTGTGGTAACTGTCACTAGAACAGCAAATGCTTACTCAGGCAGCACCAGCTATGGCAGAGAATGGGCCACTCTCCCTCCACTGGGCTGCTGTCTTCTAAGCTCCTTGTTCGTGAGGCACTAACAAGCCAGATGTTGTCCAAAGCAGGATAAAGAGGGAAATTCTGGGAGAGGAAACTACAAAATGTGAGGAAGAGTTGAGGGGTGTGGGGACAGGGGACAAGTCTTTCTACCTAAAGAGAAAACTTACACAGAACACGAGAGCCATCTTCAAATAGCTGAAGGGTTTCTCCACAGAAAAAAGAGAGGACATGTTCTTGCACACTATAGGACAGAACAAAGGACAAGAAAGGCATTAAGGGTATCAAGGACAATAACATCTTGGAGGCCCAAGAAAGAACAAGAAGGTGGAGTCTGGCTCAGTAAATGCAGAACTTTCATATAACCGCCCTGTCTAAAAAAAACAAATGAAGAGGGCTAACTTGTCAGAGAACGTGCTGGCCATGGACTATGTAAATAACAACACATTTTAAATTTAATTCCCCACCCCCATGCACCCCAACCCCAATTACTTGGTTCTATAGTTTTTCATGAGTTCTCATCACATTCTAACATATTATATAATTTACTTGTTATGTCTATTATTTATTGTATATCTCCTCCGACTAGGATATGAAATCCAGGACAGTAAGAACTTCTGTCTGTAATGCCTGTACCCCTAATGTCTAAACCCATACCTAGCTTACAGTAGACACATACTAAATATTCACAGAATGCATGAGTAGAGGCCAGAGAGCCAAGGATTATGAATGTTAAAAGACCAGGTACTCTGTCTTGGCCAGAGTTCAGGAAAAGACTATAGAAGTGTAAGAATCTCTGAACTCCCTAAAATCAAGTGTGAAATTTAGTACCTACGTGCATTTTTTCTAGAGAGGGCCTGTATCTGGTGTTCAGAAAGATCCATGACCCAAGGAAAGCTTAGGAATACCTGCAACAGATGAATCCCTGCTTGGAGGAAAGGAAGTGTGAAAACACATTAGATCCTCACCAAATCTAATTCTACAATTCTGTGAAAATGCCCGAGTCCCTAGTCTGAGAGGAGAAGGGGCAGAGATTTCAGGCCAATGACGCTCTGAGAGCCCCAGAACAACGGAGCCTTGGCCAAGGTGAAATATGAAGGCCGCACTGCCTGCTGCTGTCCTAGGCTTGGTGCTGATGAGAGGAATCAAGTCGCAAATGGTTTCTGGGCCTGGGCCTGTCATCTCACCAGCCTCCCCTTATCCCTCCCATCAAACATAGGGGTAGCAGTTGCTGACAAGCTTTGACTTCTGGGTGGTGGAGGTAGACTTCTACCCGGTACTGAACAGTTGGGTACCTCTTAACTCCAGCAGCAAGAATTCTCCTTAGCTCTGGCACAAACCTCCTGGAAGTCGCAGGATTCCCCTCCAGCCCTGGCATAATGCCCCTAGTGGATATTTTCCAGCATCCTATTCCTCTGGGAGCCAAGTGTCAGGTAGAAAAACTGGTTACTTTGAAAGAAAGAGATACAAGGAGGGGCCTGTCGTTTTGACACGTAGCAATAGCATAAACATTGCATCCAATAAACATTCAGATGCAAGATACTATTCCAAGCAATAGGGTCTGCGGTGAGTATTCAACAAATACTTGCCTTGGTTGTTTATTAATTCAACATTACTCAGCCCCTCCACTTATCCTCTATTTACTACACGACTTGCCATCTCATGCGGTCCTCGACACACACATTCACACAGGTGCACACAGGCACACCTACCGCTCTTTCACCATGAAGCCACCCAGTGTGTTGTGCATGAATACAAACCCTCAGATGAACAAAAAATCCAAAGGCCCCAATGGTTACCTGCTTGCCGTTGTCTGTGTAGATGCAGTTCTTGTCTGGGTTCAGCTCAACCACTCTATCTTTGATCCATTCTACCCCAGATGGAATCACACTCGCTGTGGGACGACCAGATAAGGACAGCGGTTTGGCACCAGCACCCACCAGCGTCCAGATTGGCTGATAGAAATGTCTCTGAGAAACAAAGTGATTGGAGATTTATTTCAATTTGAGGCTGCTGAAAGGGGGTTATAACTAAATGTCTATGAGCTAGATTCTCTCAATTACTGCCTCTTGACTCTTAAAGCATCCCATAAAAAAAGTCCCTGAAAGGTTGGTTTCCCCCTTGTTGGTGTCTCCTGTTATGTTAAGCTGTAAAGGGCAGTCTCTTGACATAGAAAGTTTCCAAGATCATCCCAAAAATCTATAAACTGTCTTTAGTGACCACTTTGTTATGTATTGCTGAAACTTGATTTGGTGTTTAATATGTATGTCCTATGACATACATGCACATTATGGACATCTTTAGCTACACAGATATAAAGAAAAATTGAGCCTGGCTGCCTAAATATAGTACCCCAGGAGTATGTGGAGACCTTGGTAAGTCTGGAAAATTTACAGCCACTTGTGGGGATCCTCGAAACTTCATTAACTTCTGATCATGTTTCCCAAGCCCATGGAGGACTGCAGTCCTCCCAATTTGCCCCTTCTCCTTTTTCCAAGGTTTTACACCCAAAGCCAGTAGGTAGCAGTCTCTATCCCACAAACCAGGCAAGCTCAAACTTTCAGTATTTTCTGAAATTGTCTTGCTTCAGATGGTTTACTCTTGATCTAAGTTAGTTGTGAAAGCTTTAGACTCAGAGGCAAAAGGCAGACTAGTTTAATGGCCTCTGGGAATTCCACTTCACTTAATGGAGTAGACTGGGGGGCCAAGAGCTCTCAGTATTGCCAAAGTGCCTCCAACTGGCTGGCCAGAGCTCCCAAAATCCATAGAAAGGTGAAGATGACAACAGAAATTCTTTGCAATCCCCCTACAACCAATAATGGATGTAATCAAATCGGAAGAGGAGGAGGAAGTCTCCAGTTGTGAGAGCTCATTAATGTCAAGAGATCTGGCCTCCCTTCAGCCTTGCTTCCCTCCACCTTCTCCCAGTCCTTTGGGATGGGCTGCTTTGTATGCCCAGAAAAAGCACTGGTGACATGAAGGCACAGTGCCCACCCTACCCCTGACACACACACACACAGAGGCACACAAAAGGGAGACTTACCTCACTGGGCTCAACAATGGCCACGTTCTCTGCACCCACCTTCCTCTTCACACGGGCGGCCATGGTGATCCCACCACTACCCCCACCCAGCACCAGCACCTCATAGTAGTTCTTGGCTGAGCAGCTGGACCCAGTGTGCAGCTGAAGGGGGCTGGCCTGCTGAGAGCCCAGCCTGAGGAAGCAGGCAAAGAGCCGGGCATGGGGCCCTGACACCAAGGCAACCAGCGGGGACATTGTCAGGCAGGATCAGGCTGGAAGGGAACAGAAGAGGCTGTGAGTGCCAAGGCGGCAACCACCACAGGAAGACACGTTCTTTCAGAGAGGAAGGGAAGGCTGGCATCCAGCCCACTCTACCTGCCATCTCTCCAGACCACTTTTCCTCTGGCTGTGATCCCAGGGTCTCCTGAGAACACTTGACTGATAGCTAACAATTGGCTAAGCTTTCCATCTCTCCCCATCCTCCTATGTCAGGCTATCAAGAACTTTGTCTGAACCAGGTATCCCCCACCTTTTAAATCTTTCCTAATAACTCGACTGTGCCCATCTAGTCCATCCACACCCTCTAGGCCAGAGGTTCTCAACCTGTGGGTCGCGACCCCTTTGTAACAATGAAAATACATCCTGCATATCAGACATTTACATTATGATTCATAAAAGTAGCAAAATTACAGTTATGAAGAAGCAAGAAAAATAATTTTATGGTTGGGGGTCACCACAACATGAAGAACTGTATAAAAGGGTTGTGGCATTAGGAGGCATTAGGAAGGTTGAGAACCACCGCTCTAGGCTATACCCAGCTGTTGCCCACTCTCCTCTCAGCCATGCTCCTTCAGCCTCTCTTTGGCTTTTCACTCCATTAAAACTGATGCATGAGTTCAGATAGAGATCTGTAACACACCTTGCTATAAAGGGCACCCGAGATCTTGTGGAAACAGACATAGTCTGGCAAGAAACCCACCTTCCGCCACTCGGGGTTCTGACTGTGGCAATCAAGGCCCTAGCCCCACTAAGGGACCTCCTGACTCTGCTGACTCAGGGACATACATTTTAATCAAATCCACACCTTCAGCAATTTCAACCAGATGATTTTTAAATGTCATAAAAGGAACTCTTCCTGGTATCATAAAGTTACATTTTATGCAAAGAATCTGTACCTGGTGCTGGTGAGCCTTTTATTACAGCCAATCCAGTAAACAATTTCACCTTAGTTCCTCCAAGAGATGCACTTTCACCTTTAGCAAAACCTGTTTTTACTCTGAGTGGTTAGTGCTTTGGCAGAGAGAAAATTAAGGCTTCTCAGGGACTGGCCCCCTG